CTTTTGTGTTTTTTCCCCCCCCCCCCCCCCCTCACTGTTAGTTATTCCCAGATGGCAAGCTCTCATTCATTAATTAGAGGTGGGGGGGGGGGCTTGGGGTTTGGAGGGAATTAACATAGATTGGGGATAGAGCTTTACTGTTGTGGAAAAAGCATGGATGTAATTTGGCTTACTGATAGTGGATTTTTAATTACTCCTCTGAACAGCATAAGGTTTGTCTGGGAATGTTTGCTGCAGTGATCATCTAGCTAGGATTCAGTCCTACACTCCGGGGAGAGACCCACTTTTAAATGAATGCCATCACCATTGACACTTCACGGGATTCAAGTTTTATATTCCACACAAACCTCTGATGAAATAATAGGTTATGACAAGTCTTTGTCCATATATCTGATTCAGTATCATGTGGCTCAGGCGTAGGGTGAACCAACTCCAGGGTGAAGCTAAAAGTTGCCTTATCTTACTGTAATCTATTAAATATGTACATCATAAACCTGTCTTTTTAGGCAAGTTTTAGGCTTCTTTGACAGACCCTGAATCAGCCATTGGTGGTGTACCATTAAACTTTTACATCCAAATAAATGCTGAGGATCTGCAAAAGCTGAAAATACCATATATATATATATATATATATATATAATCAATGAAGCTGTCAACACTGTGAAATGACTTACATCCTATTTACATCTGTACTTTGTTGTTTATGATGAGAGAATTTGCTGAACACTGAACAAAACTCATGATTTGAACATGCTGAATCTGAATGGCTCTGATTGGTCATTGCATACATAGGCTTAGCAGAATCGTGTTTGATTGGTTAAAATAAATATGATGCAGCATGAGCAGATCTGAACTTAATGGCGCAATCAACATTTTTCAATTCATTTTCACTTTTTTTTTTTTTTGCAATAGCAGTAATAGATTTTGTTTAATTTTTCAGGGGCATTTTTGTCCAATTTGGTGCGTTTTTGCCCCAAGCCCCCCTTAATTTGCAATCCGTGGCCAGAGGAAGGCTAAGCCTTGCCCAGCCTTACACATGCTCGATGATGTGGCACTCTCAGGTATCCTCATAGACAATCCTGGCTAAGGCCTTTATGCTTCATGATGTGTTTGCACTATTACCGAGCAAACTGTTTGTAGAATTTATCTTCGAGGCAGAGTGTGATGGAAAATCGAACAAAATTGACATTCCAATGGTAGGCTGGTTTTTCATCATTTTCATAAACTCTGATTATAAGCAGGGGTGTGAAGTAACGAATTACAAATACTCACGTTTCAGTAATTAAGTAGTTTTTTATCAGTAATTGTACTTTTTTGAGTAGTTTAAAAATTGTGTACTTTTACTTTTCCTTGAGTACATTTTAAGTGATGTATTGGTACTTTTACTCAGCTATTTTCCTCCGTTTGTGGTCGTTACATGCTTATTTTAATTTTATTTTTATCCATCAACGTGATTGGATAGAGAGTAATAGGTCTCGTGACTTTCGTCAAATCAAATTGTGCATAGAAAACTTTAACCGTCAACTGTTTATCATGGCTGCTGGAAGCGCATTCTTCAAGCATCAATTCAGTCGCATCTTCCTCTAACTTTAATATGTTAAGGTAAATTTCGGATTTCTGCTTACTAAATTATTTGTATATATGCTTGCCTATCTACA